CTCAGGTAAGATTCTCTGGACAAATTACACCTGCATCTTGAGAATATGCCTTGAATGGTGTCGGCACCACATTTACCTGCTACCACCATACCCACAGGCAGAAGAACCAAGACAGAAAAATTCCACCCATTTTGTATTTTGTAATAGAAGAGATTCAGAAACAATAAGCTGCTCCACAGATTAAAAAATAAATATATGAGTTTCTCCTTTCCCATCCTCAGGCACCCTCCCCTGCCAGCAATTTCTGCTACAATAATGAAAATATAAGCCATACTGCCCTGTCCCTATGAAACCCAAAGAAAAGAGGCTCTAGGACCACCTTTTAGTGCACAGGTGAATCCTAAACTCTCACAAATGCATCTTAAATCCCCTATTCTTGATTCTGACCACAACCTAAGAGTTATATGAGGCAGTTAACTAATACAACATGAATGCTTCCACCCAGAACATTAATTGGAAAGTGTGGCAGGAAGAACACCAGTAAAGATAGTTCTGAAAATTAGCCATGTGATTCTAATTAGCAGCCTAAACTTATAACCACTTAACTAAGCATTGCATCTCAAGCTTTAATGAGATTATAAATCACTTGGTAATGTTGGTACCACTCTATGTAATGTGATTGTACAGTTTTGGAAAGGGTTCATGAATGGGTGTTTTAAATAAGACCCCTGCCAATGCTGATGATGCTCCCCCTGGTCTCATTATGAGCATTAGTTAGAGAAAGCAGGCACAACACAAAGTCTCTTGGCACTTTTGTCACAACACAGATACTTCTCACACAGATAAAGACTACCAATCTCCATCTTAAAGTACCATAATCTTTGCTGGCTTTCTAAAGTTTACAGAGAAAACACAAAGCAGCAATATCTGACTAGGTCTGAATTTATTTATTTATTTAGACGGAGTCTCACTCTGTTACACTGGCTGGAGTGCAGTAATGAGATCTGCACTTACTGCAACCTCTACCTCCCAGATTCAAGCAATTCTCCTTCCTGAGCTTCCCTAGTAGCTGGGACTACAGCTTTGCACCACAATACCTGGCTAATTATTTTTCTTCGTACTTTTAGTAGAGATGGGGTTTTACCATGTTGGTCAGGCTGGTCTCGAACACCTGACCTTAAATGATCAGATAGCCTCGGCCTCCCAAAGTGCTGGGATTACTGGTGTCAACCACTGCACCAGGCCTTAAGTCTGTATTTAGAAAACAAAATGTACACAGATACTAATGCAATGTTTATTAAGCAGGTCAAATGTGCTCAATAAGATTTTACAGAGCACTGTAACAACACATTATTGGACTTAATTCTAATAACACCCTATGTGTTGATACTAAGTGTTCAATAATTCCAAATATTTAGGAAAAAAAACAGAATTTTTATTTCTTCCCCTGTTTCTCTGTTCTTGATTTTATTTAAAAAATGTATAAAATAAAATCTAAATACAGACAGACACAAGTCAAACAGAAATGGAAGAGTTTAATGTAATTTACAAAACTTTGTATGGTGTTTATATTCACTTTTTGTGACTTGTAAAGAAACTGCTAGATCTGCAGGACAGAAAACAAGTTGCTAAATAGAATGTCACTGCAAGCACTAATTTTAAAGTTAAAAATTTAGAAATGAGACCCTAAAATGCATACTTCATGTTTCTCATTTATCTGCTTTTAGGTTTCAGAAAACTCTGAGCACCAGCTCTAAAAGTAGAACAAGATTCATCACTCAAAACTCTGATCTCTTCTATTCAGTTCCATGAGGTGACTCCAAGGTAGGGCCAGACCTAAATAGGGCCTCCAAAAAGGGTGAATCTGAAAAGGGCTGGGGCAGGGAGTGGACCCTATGTAGAATCTGGTTCTCTATACCACTGGGTGTATTTCCAGTTCTGTTTTTCTTAAACTTACCTAAGAGAAACTTAAATTTCAGAGTGTGTGTAATTTTAATCTTTTTGAGCCACTGCCCTGTCAATTTCATATAATATACTAATAAGCAATTGAAACAAATCACTTTCCATTTTCTAGGATAATTTTTTTAGGAAATAAATATGTATTGTTAACAAGGTAAAAAAAAATACAAATAATAGGCTGGGTGTGGTGGCTCATGCCTGTAATCCCAGTACTTAGGGAGGCCAAGGCAGGCATTCCACACCAGCCTGGCCAACATGAAGAAACTCGGTCTCTACTAAAAATACAAAAATTAGCGGGGTGTGGTGGCACAGACCTGTAATCCCCGCTACTATAGAGGCTGAGGCGGGAGAATCACTTGAACCCAGAAGGCAGAGGTTGCAGTGAGCTGAGATCAAGCCACTGCACCCCTGCCTGGGCAACAGGGTGAGACTCCGTCCCCACCCACCAGGAAAAAATACAAATAATAATAACAATGCTTCTGCTCATAAATCTCCCTTCTGATGAAAACATCAGAAGTCAGAACAATATTAAAAAAGTGAGGGCCAGGTGTGGTGGCTCACGCCTGTAATCTCAGCACTTTGGGAGGCCGAGGCAGGTGGATCACCTGAGTTTGAAAGTTTAAAACCAGCCTGACCATGGAGAAACCCCGTCTGCAGTAAAATAAAAATACAAAATTAGCCAGGCATGGTGTCTAATGCCTGTAGTCACAGCTACTCGGGAGGCTGCGGCAGGAGAATCACTTTAACTTGGGGAGCAGAGGTTGTGTTGAGCCCAGATCACGCCAACACATTCCAGCCTAGGCAACAAGAAAAACCTCTGTCTCAAAGAAAATAAAAGTAAAAAGAAAGTGGTCCAAATAAAGCCCAAGATTTTGCACACATCTATTTATTGTACTCACCATATAATGCATAATTCAACCTTTAATCCAGTTGCTAGTATAGACTAAAAGTTTCTTGATTGTAGGGATTATGTCTGCTTTATCCATTTTTCTAATGACTACATGAGAGGAAAGCCAATTGATTTATGTGTTTGAGTTCCATACCTCCTTCTTGTTTTTCACTCAAGTACAAGGAAAGCGGAGAAACTCTCATTTGGGCACCAAACAAAAACATTTCTTCTATAAGGTGAAGAACAAACACAGAATAAGTCATTTCTCTTAGAAATGACTTACCACTCTTGTCAGCCTAATAAAATTCTGCTCTGGACATTCTCAAATAACTCAAAAATGCCTAGGTGATTGTGATAGGGTCCCCAGTGACCCTGTGCTGGTGGCCCAATGACATGTCAGACAGGAGAGAATCAGGCTAATTCTTTTCTATTTATTATTATTTTTTATTGAGATGGAGTCTCGTTGCCAGACACGGAGGCTTATGCCTATAATCCCAGCACTTTGGGAGGCTGAGGTGGGTGGATCATGAGGTCAGGAGTTCAAGACCAGCCTCGCCAAGATGATGAAACCCCATCTCTATTAAAAATAAAATAAAATTTAAATTCAAAATAAAAGAGGTGGAGTCTTGCTCTGTTGCCCAGGCTAGAGTGCAGTCATGCAATATTGGCTCACTGCAACGTCCACCTCCTAAGTTGAAGCAATTTTCCTGCCTTAGCCTCCCAAGTAGCTGGGACTACAGGTGCATGCCACTATACTGGGCTATTTGTATTTTTAGTAGAGATGTGGTTTCACCATGTTGGCCAGGCTGGTCTCAAACTACTGACCTTAGGTGATCCACCCGCCTCGACCTCCCAATGTGCTGGGATTACAGGCATGAGCCACCATGCCGACAATTCAGGCTGATTCTAAAAAAAAAAAAAAAAAAAGAACCTGCCCCGGTGAAGCTCGAGAACCTAAATTACCTGTCAAGATGAGCTAGCTCTTGGGGAAGAGCAAGAACAAGAATACTGTACTCCAGTGTCACATTTTTCTGCAAAGGTATAGTTGTGCTTATGGCTCTGGAGAGTTCAGTCTTGATCTTTCACTCCTAAGATACTTGTTTACACTTATAGATTCTGCCATCAGATTCTGTTTACTCTTCGAGCCTCTCACAGAACTGCAGCAGGTCACTGAACAAGACCTGAAAAGCTCAAAGAGCCACACTCTCAAAGATCTCTGTGTTGACATCGTGCAATGCAGAAAATGCCTCCTCTTAGTTTTCCATACATATTCTATCCAAAGTCTACATTGTCTTGTAAATATGAGGCAGAGGGCAAAACTTATGTGAAAATTCTAGGTGGGATTAACCTAGCTGCAGTTTTGGGTGTTACAGCAAGTAAAGTACAGTTCAAAGAGAGATTTCCCCATATCATGTCCCTGACAGAGCAAGACTGTATTAAAAAAAAAAAAGTGGGGGGATTTGTAAAACCAAAAAGAAACAACAGAGTGAACTGACAAAAAGTTGTTTCTCGGACAGGCACAGTGGCTCACACCTATAATTCCAGCACTTTGGGAGACCAAGGGGGGTGGGGGGGGCGAATCACCTGAGGTCAGGAGTTCGAGACCAGCCTGACCAAAATGGTGAAACAATGTCTCCACTAAAAATACAAAAATTAGCCAGGTGTAACAGTAGGTGCCTGTAATCCCAGCTACTTGGGAGGCTGAGGCAGGAGAACCACTTGAACCTGA